TCATCTATACGACATCGAAAAACGGTTCAAATCTGAGTTGGAATGTTGGGCGATCGATCCCCGAAGGGGTGATCGATCCCCCGACTCTTAAAAATCTGTGTTTTAGTAAAATTTACCCCATAGGATCGATCCAGAGGATTGGATCGATCCCCTAACCTTAAAAACGGGTTCTGGGGCTCTTTTCCATCGTCGGGTGATCGATCGAGCTCCGGGGGTTGATCCACAGACGGTTCCTATGCGTTTTTGGGTTCGTTTTAAGCTACGGAATGGTTCCAAAAGTGTATATATTGAATATATATACTCTACTTTGAATCTCTAAGTTGTGTAGGAACATTTTAGGCACAATTTCAGGCATTCTCCGTCATCGGCGATTCATGGGTATCAAGTTGAGCGTTTTATCGAGACTATCGATATGACTAACATAAAATGACATGTAGGTATATGAAATCATGTATTATGAATGATTCTAAGGAATCTAACATCGCAACGAGTCCGGGATACAGACATTAGAATTCGTAGGGGAAACAATGATCCTACACCTCACGTACGTTCAACGAACGGCCGTCACTATCTACTTCTAGCTTTCCTTGTCTTGAGGTCTTCTCTTTGAACCTTGATATCACAGAGGTATGTGGCGTGAGGAGAGTGTTAAAATGAGTATAATAACGATAGGAATGGAACATACCCACTTACCTAGAGTTTTCTTCCTAAAACTCCATTAATGGTGGATGAAGGAACTTGGGAAGATGATGAAAAGTTGCAGGGACTCCTCATGTGTTTGAGTGATGAAGGAAAAGAGTTGTGGGGGTACTTTTAATGGTGAGAAGTGCATTTTTGGAGTATCGTTCAAGTCCCATCCCTCCAACATTCATTGAGCTATAATCCAAAGAAAAAGAGTGGGTGACATGGGCATGTTGGGCATCAACCATGCATGAGTGGTATGATGAAATATCCAAGAAGGTGCAGGGAAGTTGGGATTGATCTGAAGGGAATTATTTTGGTGAAGTGTAAGTGGGATTTGGGATTAAATCCCTGTCCGGAAGAAATAATTTATCTGTTTGAATTTCAGGTTATTTTCTGAACGGAGTCCGATTTTGAAACTGATCACATTTTTTAACTTAGAAAAATAAATGGAACTCGAATACGTAATCAATATATTTTTCCTAGTATTTTTATTTTTCAAGCCGGCGGGGCCCACACGGTAAAAATCAGTGGTTTACGCGGTTAATTCTTCTAGACCAGTTTTCATGGCGTTACAGTGGGTGAGACTCATGTCCCCTTTGGAACGACAGTTCATAGATCCCCGTGTGCATATTTTTACCCAGATAGCCTTTGGACCCAGCAGGTACCACATGGCTCTAATCTACTATACTTATAGCATAACTTGCCACCAATCCATTCAGGTCATTCCCTAGAGTTCTTCTAATTACATTAGTTTCATTATCATGTTATCAACTTACAAGGTCCAATATACTAGGATCTATAACCACAATACATAAAAAGATATCTATCACATTCAAATAATGGCCCAGCATTGGGTACAAGTACCCTAGCTCACCGTCATGCAACCAACAAATCTCGGAATCAATCCTCGATGAAAAACATAGATTTTTGGATGGACTCAGACGGTACCTAGTTCGTTACTTTGGTACTTTGCATACAATACCTTGGCACGTCTAGATGATACGGGGTACCGTCCGGCATAGGGTCCATCTCATATAGTAGAAGCTAATGGTAGTCGGGTACTGTCCATGGCGGTAGGGCATACCGTCCACCCGGTACCTACGTACTGTACGGGTGCAGGTACCTCCAGTGGAAATAAAGTAACCTGCGGCGACAACATGGTACTTCCTGGCGGTACCTAGCTACCGACCATTAGTCACTATTTGACTGTATATCAGCCATTTGTTCCTATATCAAACTTTAGCATAAGAACATGCATTAAAATAGCAACTTTAGCATATTCCTAACTAGCATGATCAATCCCTAATCATACGAGCCTTGAATCAACGATAACTTATGAACTAACGCAAGTGGGGTTCACATAGATAAACCATAACGATTCTACGAACGCGAAATTCAAATCCATAAATGTAACCTAGCGCTAGATGTTCACGTACTCACCTCGAATTCGACGAACGAAAGACTACAAGGTTGAACCTAAGGATGGTGAGGGATGGCGGCGGGGTTTTCTTTTTCCTCCTCCTTCATCTTCTTCTCTTTCTTCAGATGTGCTGCTCTATTCCTTCAGCTCTGGTCTAATTGCGCGCGCGCGAGAGAGAGAGAGAGAGAGTTTACGCCAAATATGGGGTGGCGTATGGGGATTTTAGGCATGTAGGCCCTATTTATAAGTTTGGGGTTATGGGCTCCATAATTAATTGACGTACCTGGGCCAAAACGCACTTTTCAGGCCACGTGCTCCAAATCCAAATCTGTTTGCATCATTAGATTCGTTCTGTCGAAAGCTACACAAGAGTGTAATCCTTTTTTCAAATGAAGAATATAATATTTCAAAATTATACCAAGTTCGTCTCATTAATTAATTAATTATTTTTAATTAATTAATCTTGAAAGGTCTAGTTTTGGGGCGTTTCAGTCACCTTCGTTGATCGCGTGAGGTTGGCTCCACCACAAACTTCCGCTGCTGCTTGGCCCAATCGTTGAAAAAGAGGAACAGAGGAGTCTCATAAAAAGAGTGAAGGGAGTATTTATATTCCTAGGGTTTTGTGCTCCGTAATAAAATAAAGTGTCCGAGTAAAATCGCACTTTTCGAGTCAACTTGCTCCGAATTGAGATCCATTTGTATTGTTGGGTTCGATTCGTCTATCTCTACCCAACCATATAACTTTTATAATCAATACACAAGTATTTGTAATTTACCCATGGTCCGTTTAAATTCTTTCAGTCAATTAATATTGATCAATTATCTAATTTAAATCTCTACATTTAAAAATAAGATTATTCACGTTATATTGGGAAGATTAGAATCTCAAAAGTATTATTTAATTTTTAAAAGAACAAATTTTCATAAATAAATAATTCTTATTTATTTAATTTGGGATTAACATCTAGACCAGTTTTTGGGGTGTTACACTTGATGCAACTTTAAGTACCATTGACGTGATACCTGCTTCAACCCATATATGGATTTCTTCAGCTTACAAACTAGATGACTTCATATTTGAAACCTTCAAGTTGTTTCATGAACACTTCTTCATCAAATCACTATTAAAGAAAGTGGCTTTGACATTCATCTGATGTAGCTCGAAATCAAGTGAGTTACAAGGGCCATAATGATCCTTAAGGAATCTTTTCGAAAGACAGGAGAAAAGCCTCTTGATAATCAATTCCCTCTTTCTAAGTGTAGCCCTTTGCATCCAATCTCGCTTTGTAGCGTTCAATATGTCCATTCGGGCCCAGTTTTGTTTTTAAGACCCATTTACATCCTGCGGGTTTTACACCATTAGGTAATTCAACCAAATCCTTAACATCATTTTTCTTCATGGAATCAAGCTCTTCAATCATGGCTTTATTCTATTCTGAAGATTGATCACTGTAAATGGCTTCACTATAAGAGGTAGGTAACATAATCATCACATTTACTAAGCCTTTTAGACATAGACAACCTCCTGAGTAGATTTTCAAGTTGAGCATTTGCGGCATTGTCTTGATGGTGATCATTTGAAGTTTCTTCATTTCTAGGTACATTTGGAGTAGGAGGTGGTGCAGTGTCATGCAGAGTGGAATTGAGTACAAGAGGAGTAATTTGAGGTAAAGTAATTGTCAAGTCTCCCCCCCCCTGCGTCTTGTACTTCTTGCAATTCGTCATAAGGGTTTTCACTGCTCCCACTAACCTTAAAGTCTTCAAGGAAATGAGCATCTTTGATTTCTATAATGCGAGTAACGTGGGAAGGATATTAAAATCTGTAACCCTTTGAGTGAGAAGGATAACCAATGAAATAGCAAATTACAGTTTTCATGTCGAGTTTCTTTAAGAAAGGAGTATAAAGTTTAGCTTCGATGAGGCAACCCCATACTTTCATATATATTAGACTCAGTTTCATTCATGTTCAGAGTTCATAAGGAGTTTTAAGGATAGCTTTAGAAGAACCTTAGCCTATTGAGTATATGAACGGCTGCCTTTAAGGCCCCACTCTAAAAAATTAAGGTAAACTTGAGTTGGCTAACATACTGTGTACCATATTTATTAGGGTATTATTTCTTCTCTTAGCAACACCATTTGGCTAATGAGTACCTGGCACAGTATATTGGTTCACTATCCCCTGACTCTTACAAAACTCATAAAATGGACCAGGAGCTTGACCCACATAAGTATATCCACTACTACAAAAAAGACTTTTTAAATCGGTTATTTTGACCCTTTTAAATCAGATTTGAACCGATGCAAAAGCCAGCGATGCAAATGCTTAGGTTACTTTTTGCATCGGTTGTAAAACCGATGCAAAAGCCTCTTCCCAGAAATGGCACCAATTCTGGGCAGAGGCTTTTGAATCGGTTATTTAGTAATAACCGATTCAAATGCCAAAGCTTTTGAATCGGTTATTACCAAATAACCGATTCAAAAGCCCTTTTCCCATTTCTGAGAATAGGCTTTTGAATCGGTTATTACCAGATAACCCATGCAAAAAATTATTTTTTTCAAAATGAATTTTTTGTTTGCTCCCGATCCACTACATTTTCAATTTTGCACAGAATTCTGTGCAAAATATACAGATTCAACAACAACAACAATTCAACCCATCAACACAACAACAACTAACACAAACCAATAACAGATACAAATACATTCACAAAATCCAAATGCCACAAAACAAATTAAACAAAAAAAGTAAACATTTGCATCCACCACTTGTACATCTTAAAAATACCAAGAGTAAAACAACTACTCTTCTATGTTTTAACAACACAACTAAGAGTCAAACAACTACACTCTACTAACATACATTTAATACTATAAATACAACACAAACTTACACTAGTTCATCGAGAAAACCCCCCGCCCAAAACTCTCTAACCTCTTCTAATTCGGCTCTAGTATAAGGCGAAGTAGACTGAAATACCTGCAATACGAAAACAACATACAACATAAAGTTTAATAAACTATGAAAAAAATGACGATATACACTTCATTACTTTCAAAAACACACTAAAATAAACTTGCATCGGATAACGGTAAAGAACATTGTGCACACATAGTGACGATGAGCCATAAAAATCGCATGGTATAATAACCACACTCAATGTTCCCTACTTGTTGGGGTACTCCAGGAGCATCAACTCAATCCGGGAGCATCAACAAAAAACAGAAACCAATCTTGCTCTTCTGATCAACAGAACTACAACTTTCCTATGAAAGATGCTCAACTTAGTACACACTGACATGTTATTAATGAAGTTGCCAAGTTGGGATGAACTTGATACATACTGACACACATGTTTTGCAATAATATACACTGGTTTTAATTCCACTTCTCAGCCAAAGAGTTAAAGTAATCATTTTTTAAAAAATTCTAGTAAAGGAACTTTATAGAAAATAACAGAAATCAATGGCCAAAGAAAAATCAAAGGAACACAGTTAAATAATTAAACAAAACAATGGTTTTCACCTCGCTAAAGCAGGTCGCTTGCGCTCAGGCTGCTTCTCCTCGTCGCCTTCCAGACTCCTCTTCCCTCTCATTGAGTTAGTCCTTTCCATGTACC